TGTAGTCCCAGCTACTCGGGAGGCTGAGGCAGGAGAATGGCATAAACCCGGGAGGCGGAGCTTGCAGTGAGCTGAGATCCGGCCGCTGCACTCCAGCCTGGGCGACAGAGTGAGACTCCGTCTCAAAAAAAAAAGAAAAAAGAGAGCTAGGATCTAAGTAGCGAGAGCATTGGTTAGTGTCCAGAGAAAGATGAGGGGAAGAAGTGCGTGCAACCTTGCTGGGCCTAGTGCCTGGGGATGTCCATGGGTTAATCTATGGGGAAGGACTGGTCCGTCAATGCATGGGGCCAGCATGTGGGGGGCAACACTTCTAAATGCACTTCTTTGTTTCCAGGCAACGCCCTGCCCTTGGAGAATGTGTGGCCTCGCTGGCAGCTGCCATACCAGTGGCATTCCTGGAGCCCACCCTCAATCGCTACAATCCTCTCTCGGTCTTCAACACCAAAACCCCTAGGGAGAGGTCTAGTAAGTATCTCCCCACAAAGGTCATCAACCCGTTTCATGTGCTGAGAGGAGGGGAGCCACACAGGCCGGGAGCAGCAGTCCTGCAGCACTGTGGCTTTCTTGGTCTGAGAGGAGCCAGGAGGTGAGGTTAGGTAGGGACTAGGTTGCAGGTCTCCATCTTACTGGAGAAAAACGCTTGGGCAAGGCTTTGTTGTAATTAGGCTTTGATTTCTTCTTCTGTAAAGTGAGGAGTCAGTGTTGCTGATTTTGAAATCCTTTCCATCCTAAGACCTCAGGGTCTCTTGTCTGCTCTGGGTTTCAGTTCCCCATCTGCACCTGGGTATGTGACTCCTTTTTTGCAGTCCCTCTGCGGAGTGGGATCAGAAGGTGCACCTCCACACGAATAACCTAATTATACTCTTCCAGTCCACGGAGAGGCTGTGCTTCTAAAGATGCTGACCACACGTTTTCATCTTCGTGGACGATAAGACATAGAAAAGCACCAGAAGGAAGAGAAATTGTACAAGAAAGAGTATTTCTTAGCAAAAGTATTGACACACTAGGTTCCACAACAGGGTGGCAAACTATGACCACAGGGCCAATCTGGCCCCCTGCCTATTTTTGTAAATAAAGTTTTATTTGAACACAGCCACACCTACTTATTTACATTTGGTCTGTGGCTGCTTTAGCACAGCAATGGCAGAGTTGAGTAGAGGCAGGAAAGTTTGGCCCCCAAGGCCTAAAATATTTACTATCTGGCCCTCTACAGAAAAGTTTTCCACCCTGTCTTGTAGAATAATCCTGGAACTAAAATCCAAGGCAGGTTGTAAATCTGGTTCTGGAGGGTCCTTGTATCTGGGTTAATTGTGATCCTGCCTCAGGACAAGGGAATAGGATAGAGGAGCTTTAAGTAGGAGCCTTGAATCAAGCTTGGACTCCAACTAGAAAAAACTGCGATGATTCCATCTATTTTGAAGCAAAAATTACCAAACTATAGGCTAATCAGTATTAAGGGAAAAAAAGCCACAGTAAATTATTTTCAACCAGAACTTTCTCTATTCAGAACCAATGTTTTCTTAAAATATTGCTATACACTACCAGTAGATGGCTGAACGTGGTGGCAATTCCATTTAGTTCAAGCTCCCTTTCTCAAACGGCTGTGAGATTTAAGGAAGAAGCGTTCTGAGTGAGAAAGGGCTCATACCACACTTTTCTTTGCCGCCGCTGTTTTTTTCATCTAAAGATGTGAAGTGCTAAGCCGTGGCAGCTTTATTCCCACTTGCTTCTTGTTACTTCAGGTAAGAGGAGCACATTGTCCCCTAGAAATGATCACCAGGACAATTCAGATAAGGCCACTAATAAAAATCTTGCACTGAACTAGAATACAGTGGAGACTAGTGTTCTCAGAGCTAGTCAAGAGAGAAACATTGCCAAGATGCCTCAACTTTCCAAAGTCCCATATGAAATCTGTAAGTTAATCTTTCCTCAACCCTTTCAGCCTCATCTCGCCCTTTCTTCCCTTCGAAACTAGCCAAAAAAAAAGTATTTCCGACCTTTTTTTTTTTCCTTCCCACTTCTGATTCCAAATAAGTCCTAGCTTTCCACCAAAGTGGAAGCTGAGCAACAGAGCAGGCTTTGGTGAAGTTGAGAAGGAGCTGCGACATCTCCAGGCAAATGCCAGCCCAGGTGTTGCTCCCTGACTCCAAAGGGACATGGGGCCCAGTCATGACAGTTCTGGATATTTATACATTTATTCTGCTTCAACTGTGACTTGAGAAATAGTATATCTCTGTCTCTATACCAGCACTGTGTAGAGCTTCACCTGGGAAAAGAGAGAAACTGCCTCTGCTCTTCAGTTCATAAAGGCACAATGAGGATGTTTTTTCCTGCTCCTGTGCCTTTATGAACTGAAGAAGATAGAGGGAAGCCTGGGGTGGCTTTGGAAGGGAGGGGAATTAGTCTCTTGCATTGTGCCCCTTCCCAAGAGCTATTTGAAAAGTGCTCCTTCTCATTCTATACACCTTTGCATTGATTTAATAAGACATATTCATAAATAAAAAATGACTCCCCATCATTGCATACTCCAAAGGAAGAAAAGAAACAAGGTTGTAATTGGAGATGACACAGTCCTTTATCCATTAGTGACACACTATGGGACTCTGTGTCCAGCTCCCCTGAGCCCATGTGTTTGATCACTGGATTCAGTGAAGAGTGAATGCTGACCATGTGTATGGCTCTTAAAAAGTTTACCTAGAGTCAGAGAATGACTGATGGCTTAATGAGCTGTAAGAAGGTAGACTTCATTCATTACAAAGTGGGTGGTCTGAGAAATAAAGGGCGGGGAAGAATGTTTAAGGTGACAGGTGATGTGAGCCTGTGGTTTAGAAATACAATATGAACTGATTTATCATGTCTTCAGTTAATTGGGCATCTCTATTGACACTTGATGCTTTGCCAGCAGAATTACTCAGATTCGTATCTTCGATGCCCTGTAACATCCTGGTGCATTTTCTTCCTCATCCAAAAATTATTAAGATATACCTAGAAAAAGTTTAATACTGTTATGTGCCAGTTATTCAAAACTAGTTACATCCTTGGTTATGGGTGGCAGCGATCTATTACTCAGAACACTAGATGGACCAAAGCATCCTATTACCAGTCAGTTTGCTTTTCTTCTGTACCCTATTGGAACTCTTTTCTCTTTGGTTGATTATTCCAATTCTAAGGTAAGCCATCTGTATTGCAAAGAGAAGAGGTGCTAAGGTGAGGCACGCAGGACTTTACAATCTAATCCAGTGGTTCTTGAATTCTAACGTGCATCAGAATCACCCAGGAGGCTTGTTCAAGACTGTCGAGCCCCCACCCCTAGGGTATCTAATACAGTAAGTCAGTTTGGAGTGAGGCCCAGGAGTTTGCGTTTTTAGCCGGTCTCCGGGTGATGCTGATGCTGCGGTAGGAGGACCGCACTTTGAGAATCACTGATCTAGAAGATAAAAGGACAATGATTCTAAAGATTCCCCCTCACAGTCTTGTGTCTGATTCTAAGAGGACACAGCTGAGGCTGTTTTTCTAGCAGCTCACTCAGAATTCATTCTGTGGGTTTATGCTGTGGCATTTGAAGTACAAAACACCTGAATCACAAATGTTTGTTCCACTCAAGGACCAATTGCGTATAAATAAGTTTTAAAGGTCATTATAATGGCTCCAGCGCAGCAACCTTAAGCAACTCTGTTTTCCTTAGGCAGCCGGCAAAAAGTGTTCATGATGATGTATTGTCTATGTGACATTTAAACAAACACACCTGAGCCTTATCATTTACAATCCCGAGGCAAATAGTTGTACATTTCAGTTGCATCTATGGCAATGGCATTGTTCTGTGTGTAGAACCTCAAGGTAGAACGTTTGACTTCCCTGTGTTTCCCTCTGTTCTTTGAGAGTGTGTGTGTAAAATTATGTTGTTGTAAGGGTCTCTGCAGACTCCCGTGTTCTTGTGACCCGTGACCATTGTTGTCCTGCTGCGAGATGCAGGACAGGCTCATTCTCTGCAAATGACTGTATCTGACCCATAATTTCCTTCTACGGCAAATCACAAGAGTTCAGGGTTCTTTGGCTTTCATGCTATTAATCCCTTTCAATTGTCTGGGTTTTAAAAGATGTTGGCCCACTCCTGACATCCAAGGAGGAGAGATGTTTAGCCTTCTATCTACCAAAAGGCTCTAGTGATAGCAACAAAAGTCATCACTAGGGAAAGGGTAATAGTGCTCCACCGGGCCTATCCCATAGCATAAAGGCTGCTGGGATCCATTGCTTTGCAACTGCACATCCTGTCCAGGTAGAACCACTTGTCTCAGCTGCAGATTCATTCTCTCCAAGATAGCCAGGATTGTTCTGTATCTCTGCTCCATGCAGTATAACCATGAGAGAAACTCAGACCGTCCCTTTCAATTGACCAGTATTCGTAAAGGCCAAGGAATTTGGTATGGCCTCTCCTATTTATTAATCCTTCAAGTCCAATGGATATAAAACCTGAAAATCTAGAGAAGACAGACCTCGAGCCAACAGTAATCCCAATGGCAAAGGGCCTGCAGGCATAACCCAATTCACGAAACATACATTTGTATTTGCAGTCTTCTGCTTTATCTTTGGAAATGTATGAGAACTTTGCATTTGATTCCAAATATCAAAAATAATTTCCTCAAATCTTCCAGGGAACTGATGTTCTGGGAAAACACACCACATCTTTCCTGTGGCTTCCCAGACTGCCTAGCTCCTTCAGTGCCTGATGGTTTTGCCCCCAGTGTGAGAAGTTTGGCCTGAGGATGAAGTAGATACATTCTGTAGGAAGCAGTTAGATCAGTGCGTGTGTATGCAAAGTTTTGGGCTTGTGGCTGTTACTCAGAATTGTCCGTGTCCCTCCACTCAGAGCCCTTGTTATCTTCTCACCTGTCAGGAACTTCAGGATGCTTCCAGTCTTCCTCCCGTCTTGCAGGAAAGAGTGTCCTTTACCTTACAGGAAGCAGGACAGAGAAGCCCTGGATTTTTCTGTTTACAGTTCTTGCATCTGACAGCCCTGCCTGATTGAATATTGAACTCTGTCTGTTGATCCTTCAGCCCGTGTGTCCTTGTCTAGAGCAGCACCCTCAATCATTCAGGGTGAGGAAAAGATAGCGCTCCCACGATTCCTTACAAATCAGTCCTTGGAAACAAAAAGGATTAAGCAATTGACAGGGAGTCAATCAAGCCACCTCAGGTCATCCATCATTTCTATTGTGCAGCCAGAAATCAGTCCACGTGTGATGCTTTCCCCCCCCCAGAATTCCAGCTGGATGGAAAGTTGTTGTTTCTGGTCCAGCTGAAGGACTGTTAGATGAGTGGACTTTTATTTTTCCTTTTCTAAGCTGTACAGATGTGATCCAGGCAATGGCACCACAACTTAAAACTAAACACTCATCAGTTGCTTTTCTCCTCTGATTCCTGGTTTTCCTGCAGGGGACACACTAAGGCCCAGGCAGTCTGGCCAAGAGGGAGAAGCCAAGAGGCTGGCTTCATTACAGGGTAGTCTTAGGAACTAACTATCCCTCATCCTTGTGTCTGCTGTACTCCTTTAACCACAGGTTTGTTTTAACCTCACCTCAACATGACATCTAGGAAGAGAATGCAGCCTCTGGAAGCTGCAGTCTGTTCACAGACAGCTGGAGGACAAAAGGCACTCCACATCCAAGCTCACTGCTGTGAAGCTCTGGAAATTTATTTCTAAAGACCAAAGGAAAGGAGGGGCAGAGAGAAAGAAGCTTGCACCCACTGTGCTTTTGAATTTCTGTCCCTTTATTCTTCCTCTCGATCAGTTCTGGGGATACCAGACACGGTGGAAGACATGTGTCCTGACATCCCCCAGCTGGAAGGCCTGATGAAGGAAATCAACGACCTGGCCGAGTCAGGGGCGCGGTACACAGAGATGCCGCATGTCATCGAGGTGATCTTACCCATGCTCTGCAACTACCTGTCCTACTGGTGGGAGCGGGGGCCTGAGAACCTGCCCCCCAGCACAGGGCAGTGCTGCACCAAAGTCACCTCTGAACACCTCAGTCTCATCCTGGGCAACATTCTGAAAATCATCAACAACAACCTGGGCATCGATGAGGCCTCCTGGATGAAGCGCATCGCAGGTACCAATGCCTTTTCTCCCCGGTCCCCAGCCCAGGGCACAAGATAACTGGATTCTCTTTTCATCTCTATTATTAATTCCAAGATGGTTTTGCACAAGCTCTATCCAATATTTAAACCTCCCCATCCCCAACCCAGCTGCTTCACAGTGAAAAGAATTGACATATTCCCCTGAAGAGCTTCCTCGAGCCAATGCTTCTGCCCTACTCCCCTACTCATCCAGGCCCCTCAAATCTCCAGGAAGCCCTTCTTAATCAACTCCACTCAAATCCAATGAACATGGCTTTGTTTGATTTTGGTACTCAAGAATCGCATTTGCTCTTACAGTAATAATTGTCCAGAATTTTCCTGGTAAGTAATCCTGTGTGTTTTCCACTTGTATAAAACTCACTCCCATCTGACCTACACTGCAAGTTCCTTACTGTCACTCTGCATTTGCGTTTCACTTGATGCTTTCTAAGACACCCTCATGCAGCCTCACAGTAGGGGCACTTTGGGTTTTTTTCTTTTGTATCCCTCTAAAGTTACTTGCATACAGTCAGCTCTCAATGAATGTTATTAGCCAATTTTCTCTTCCTAAAGCAACTTCAAAAAAAGGACAGGCTTGGAAAATCAATAACTACTTTCCACAGTCAGGAAACCACAAATATTTTGTGTCCTCTGTGTCAGACTACAGTCCAAGGAGATAGAAGCTAAGGCAAAATCACTGCTTTTGATGGACCTGTGATTTAGGTAGTGGAGTCCACCAGTAACATCTTTACCCATATAATCTCCTGGATCATGAATACAATGGCTAGGCTAAAGGGAACTATTAATCCAACACTGGTATTTACTTTCCTGGACCAAGGAATCGCTGTCCTGCAAGACCAAGGAAGAAAAGTTACTGCTTCTTCCTGTCTCACAGATGAACTGAGATCAAAATTATAAATATCAGGCCGGGCGCGGTGGCTCAAGCCTGTAATCCCAGCACTTTGGGAGGCCGAGACGGGCGGATCACGAGGTCAGGAGATCGAGACCATCCTGGCGAACACGGTGAAACCCCGTCTCTACTAAAAAGTACAAAAAAACTAGCTGGGTGAGGTGGCGGGCGCCTGTAGTCCCAGCTACTCGGGAGGCTGAGGCAGGAGAATGGTGTGAACCCGGGAGGTGGAGCTTGCAATGAGCTGAGATTCGGCCACTGCACTCCCGCCTGGGCGACAGAGCGAGACTCCGTCTCAAAAAAAAAAAAAAAAAAAAAATTATAAATATCTTGGGTGCCAATGGCAGCTAGATAATATAAGCCTCTGTGGACATTTGAATAGAGTTGGTGTTCCTCTATTACCCAGTAGCCCTAAAATATTGTTAACCATAAGGTAATTTTTCAATGAGTTTCACTTGGTAAATCTGAATTAAGGGAAGGAAGGGTTTCAAAAAATCTCCTCCCTTACCTTCCTAGAGGTACACAGAGGGAAAGTGTCACAGCATGAGGGCCACTGATGGAAACTGAAGTTTGGCCTGTTATTCCACAGGGTGAATCTAGATTTCATTCAGACAGGCTACTTATTTCTTGGTGACTAAACAAAGTCAATTTTAAGTAGTAACCCCAAATCACCCACCTAAGGTGTCGCCATTCTGATTACATATCCAGAGCACAGTTGCTCACTGAAGAAGGCTAAGAAGTCACAACTTCTTGGTTAATGTGTCTCATCAGAGAGTGCCGTTGGCCTTCTCTTTCTAAAAGTATCTTTTTTATAAAAGTAAAATATAAAGTGATATTTTGAAGAAAATGGCTGGAATGCAAGCTGTTTCCAACTGAAATGCCTTAAGCTAAAGACACTTTGAAATACACATGTGAATGCACATTGTCAATGGTTCACAACTCTCAGTCACTCATTTTTTTCTTAATTACTCTGATCTTTAAAAAAAAAAAAAAAGACCAATGGAATGGCATATTGCTCTTTCTCTGATTGCTTGTTTCTGCTTTTCAACTTCTAGTGACCACCCCAGCCTCTTTTTATTTGTTTATAATTGATACCAGACTTATATCCCTCCCTCAGAGCCCAGAGGAGTCTCCAGGCAGTAGGTTGGCAGGTTTCAAGTCTTGAGGGCTGAGGATGGTAGTAGGATTAATGTGCTTTTAACAACAGATTGTTCTGTAAAATAACCAGAAAGCATATATTGAGTGTGCGCTCTTAGCACAGTACTTGTTGTTAGTAAAAGGCTTCCTTCAGGAAGTTTACAATCTGCTAGTGAGCCAAAAGCAAAAAGAATGGACTATAAAATAATACAAAATAGTCTTTCATGAAGAGCTAAGGGGTGTGGCATAGGCCACGTGTGCATGAGAGGTTCGGGGGAGGCAGGAGCTCCCCATGGCCTGGAAGAGCAGAGCAGGAATATGGGCCTTCTCCCATAGTGGCCTCGGTCCCCCATCCCCTGAGGTGGCTCTATGAGAGGGAAGTATCAAGGGGAAGATTAAGGAAGCGAACAAGGGGCAGGTGCCATCCTGAGTTGATGGGATTCCACAGCCCCACCTTTCAATCATGTCTTTCATTTTCATCAATTGCCATAATACGTGAAATGACGGGGAGGCTCTTTGTAAACCCAGTGTATGCACAGCCCATCATCAGCAAAGCCAGGCCCGACCTGCTGAGAAGCCACTTCATCCCAACTCTGGAGAAGCTGAAGAAAAAGGCTGTCAAGACCGTGCAGGAGGAGGAGCAGTTGAGAGCCGATGGCAAAGGGGACACCCAGGAGGCGGAGCTCCTCATCCTGGACGAATTCGCGGTCCTCTGCCGAGATCTCTATGCCTTCTACCCCATGCTGATCCGCTACGTGGACAACAACAGGTACGGAGGAGACCACTAGGAGCCTGTCTGCCCCTCTGTGGGGCTAGTTTAGGCAACGGAATAAAACGGAAAGATGGTGTTGGGTTGTTGACAGTGAGATAAAGGAGATGATAGCCGCCCCCACCGTTCTCCTTCCCAACAGCAATGGTTCCTGCTGTAGGAGCTCTGGGCAGTGCTTTCCTGGAGCAACGATTCTGTGTGGTGTGTGACATGGCCATCCCCTCCATCCTTATGGGCTACCGCAGGTCAGAGGAAGTTGGTCAAATAAAGGTAGCAGTGACCCACTTCTGCCCCTCTGCTGTTCACTCATGTATTCCTTCAACCAGTACTGCCTGACTGTGTGTTAAGCGCTCTTCTAGGCTTTAAGTGACAGGAGTGAATAGAACAGACAAGCTCTCTGGCCTAGGGATATTTCTTTCTGGGGCTGGGAGAGGTGCATAAACAATAAACAACCCATATAAGTAAATTATATAGAGCGGGGCAAGGGGAATTAGGAGGGTCAGGGTGGGGTGGAGTTGTGTTTTTAGATAGGATGTTACTGAGAAATCCGCATTTGAGCAAAGACCTGAAGTCAGTAAAGTTTGGAACCAGAAAGATCTGGGGCGAGGATGTTGCAGGAAGAGGAAATGTCTGGTGCAGGCCCCGAGAAAAGAGCGTGCTTGGGATGTTCAAGGGACCAAAAGGAGGCCAGTGTAGCTGAAGCAGAGGGAGGGGTGGGGAAGAGCAGTAGAGGATGTGAGAGGGGCAACATGGGGCCGAGAGTCCAGGCCTGGGAGGCCACTGTGAGGACTCTGACTTTTACTCTGAGTGAAAGAACAAGCCCCTGGAGATTTTGAGGGAGTCTGTAATGTGATCTGATTCACTCTTTGAGCACTGTAGCAAGGGGTGGAGGCGGTAGGGAAGGAAGAAGACCGGTGGGAGGCTCTCTATGATCCAGGCAAGAGTGGAATGTGATCCATAGAAACTGAAAATGGATTAGCAGTGTCAGGGGTGGGAGAGAATGATGGGGAGGGACTGCTTTATGCTTTTTCTTAAGGACTGGGGTTTCCTTTTTGGGTAATGAAAACGTCCTGGAACTGGATAATGATCATAGTTTCACAGCATTGTGAATGTACTAAACATCACTGATTGCAAATTTTATGTTATATGCATTTTGCCAGGTTTTATTTTATATATATATAATATATAATATATATAAATATATATATATAATATATTTTTTTTTGAGATGGAGTCTTGCTCTGTCACCCAGGCTGGCATGCAGTGGCATGATCTTGGCTCACTGTAACCTCCACCTCCTGGGCTCATGCAATTCTCCCGCTTCAGCCTCCTGAGTAGCTGGGATTACAGGTGTGTGCCACCATGCCTGGCTAATTTTTTGGTATTTTAGTAGAAATGGGATTTTACCATGTTTCCCCGGGTGGTTTCGAACTCCTGAGCTCAGGCAGTCTGCCCCCCTCGGCTTCCCCAAAGTGTTGGGATTACAGGCGTGAGCCACCACACCTGGCCCTCTTTTTTTTCTTTTCTTTTCTTTTCTTTTTTTTTAAGTTGATGGTGACTGAGGCCAGGATGGTAGCAGTGAAGGTTGCCAGACGTTATCAGATTCTGGGTCTGTTTTGACGGTAGAGCCCTTGGAATTTCCAAATTGGGAATGAGAGAAAAGAGAAGAGTCAAAAATAATTCCAGGAGTTTTGACTGAGTACATGGAAGAATGGCCTTTTCAGCAATTGAGGAAGACTGTGGATACATCAGATTTGGCCAAGGTTGGAGTGAGGTTGTTGAGGGGAGGATCAGGAGATCACTTTCAGACATGTTGAATTTAGTTGCCTATTCCATAGAAAAGTGAAAATGTTGAATGGGTAATTGCATATAAGATCCAGAGTTCAGGGGAGAGGTCTGGTGTAGACATACGCATTTTGGAGTAATCGATACATTTAAGGACTGTGAGACTAGATGAGATAAGTAAAGGATTGAGGAAGAGACAGAAGAGTTCCTCAGTACTAAGAGGTCAGGCAGAAGAAGAAGAGCAAATGAGACTGAGAGTGAGAAACCAACAAGACAGTAGGAAAGCCAACAGAATGTTGTATCCTGGGTGCCAACTTCACAAAGAGCTTCCAGAAGGAAAGAATGACCAACTGTTTCGAATGCTCCTGGTAAATAAGATGAGAACTGAGACTGGGCATTATATGAAGCAGCTCATTAGTTATTGGTGACTTGGACAAGAGCAGTGTCTGTGAAAAGTATTGAAGATAAAAAGCCTCTTTGGGATGGGTTAAAGGAATGAGAGAAAAGGACTTGGATCCAGCAATGCAGGCAACTTGTTCAAGTTTTACTCTAAAAGAGAACAGAGAAATGAGACACTAGCTAGAGGCAGAAGGGTGGTCAAGAGAGGAGCTGTTAACATACGAAACTCATCAGGTTGTTTCTTCACCAATGGGAAGGATCCAGTAGAGACGGGGGCTATGATCATGTAAGAGAGAGACAATTTCTAAGGCAATGCCCTTGAGCAGGCAAAAGGTCAACCTTAGGAAGTTCATCCACAGCAACAGACAGGAGGGCAGAGACTGTGGGTGCTGATGCACACACACACACACACACACCCCTACATTCAGAGAGAGAGGTCTTTTGGGGTCCTTTTCTGATTGCTTTTATTTTCTCAGTAAAGTAGGAAGCAAGATCATCAGTTGGGGGTGAAGATGGGGAAAGGTGCATAGAGGTTTGAAGAGTGAAGAGAAGGTATGAGGTGGTTTCCAGGGACAGTGGAAGAGTCGATGGACCAGGGAAATGCAGGGTGATTACCAGGCAGCATTAAGAGATCTCTGGTTATGAATTTACAGTAAGACCCATTAGCAGGTTGTCTTTTTCTCCAGCCAAATTCAGCTGTCAGATATCAACCAAGAATAGGAAGTAAGTTGCATTTAATGAGAGGTGAGGTTTTGCAAAGTGAGTATGACAAAAACAGGTTAGGGAGTTAAGGGTATATGTAAGGGGGTAATTATAAAGATTTACCATGGAATTTAAGCCAGATGATGAGGAGGACAGAACGTAGAAAGCCTAATGTGCATGAACAGACAAAGGATCAAAGCATTTTTGGGGAGTAGGTACTAGATAGGAGGAAGGTGGTGGTCAGAGAAGTGAAATGCATGGATTTAAGATTATGGGGTTAGGGGAGGTTACAGTTATTAGTAATGACCATGGGATTGCATACTGAGGTAGGTGGAGGGCGAGACCCTTAGAGAAGAAATCAACAGACGAAAAGGCCATGGAACTGGAAAATCATAAACACATATATTGAAGTCACTGAGAATGAAGACCGGTGACATGCTGAGACGAATATTAGTGAGATATGTGCTAAAAGCATGGGTAAAGGAAGGAGAATGGCTCGAATTAGTGACCACCTTGGTATGAGATGAAATTCAAAACTGGAGACTTATGGAGACGCTTCATGGTGCGTGTCTCTGTTCTGACATTTGAGCACCATTTAGAGAGGAGAGGTGGAAAACAGCACAATATAATGAACTTATCCAAACCTGCTGCTCCCTATTCTCAAGGCCTCTTCTCCCAACCTGAGTCCTTCAGGAGGGTCACCCAGAATTCTCATTCTCTCCCTATCCCTTGCCTTCAGCCCTTCACACTGACTCTGTGCACCTTCCCTTCTCTCCCATTAGTCAGTCCCCTGGGGTGGTGGCCATATGCTGTGCTGGACAGGCTGCGTATCCCAGCTCACCGTCTTCACTCCTATTCTACAGAACTTCAAAGGTTGAAAGTGTCTAATGTCATCATTAGGAAAATTAATTCATGTCATAAGAGAAATTTGTAATGTAAGTCATTCTTTCCCCAATGTTCATTTGGTGCACAGAATTTAGCTGAGTCAAAATAAATAAACAACAATTATATGAGAAATGTGAAGGCTTGTGGGAATATAAGTCTGCAAAATCATAAAGCTATTGATAGGGTGAACACAGACATTTTCATTGTATCTTATGGTATGATCCTTACCCTATTTGTGGGTTTTGTTGCTTTTTTCTCTCCAACCAAATATGTGTCAGTTGTCCAAGTCCATTCTCCAGTTCTCCAGCACCAATTGGGTATCCAACAATCCAATTTAATTCTGACAGTAACTATGCAGAGTTAGTGCAGATCCCACAGGTTAAGGGCTCAGTTCTGCAAGACTGTTCCATTTCAGACACCAGCCACAAATGAGTTGCCCAGGCTACTCACACTTCTGCCCAGCGAACTGCAGATCCCATGGTTCTCATGACCTGGTTTGATAATTCACTCAAATCTGATAATTCACTGGAATAGCTTATAGAACTCAGGAAAGCACATTAACAATTACAGGCTTGTTAGAAAAGAATCAACTCAGGAACGTTCAAATGGAAGAGACGCATAGGGAAATGTATGGGCGTAGGGGAGGGCAGAACCTCTGTGTCCACCCTGGCGCACACCAACCTCCCAGCCCATCGATGTGTTTACCAACCTGTAGCCTCCCTGCATCTCATCGTACGAGCTTTTATGTAAGTTTCATTGATAAATCATTGGCCATTGGTGATTGAGATTGAACTCAATCTTCAGCACCTCCTCTCTCCCCAGAGGTAGGGAGTGAGGCTGAAAGTTCCAACCCTCTAACCACGTGCTTGGTGTTTCTAGCAACCAGTGCCATCCTGAAGCTACCTAGCCCTTCCCCACTCAAGGGTCACTTCATGAGCATAAACCCAGGCATGGTCAAAGGTGCTCGTCATATATAACAAAAGAAACTCCTATTACTCAGGAAATTCCACGAGTTCTAGTAGCTCTGTGCCAGGAAACAGAGGCAAAGACTAATACATATTTTTATTATACCATACCCTTCTGAAATGTAAAACCCTAAAATACAAATTTGAAAATGTTTAATTTTAAGGTACCCATTATAGATATTGAAGGGATGCAGAAATATTTGGGGGAACATTGGTAACTTTTGAGTGGTAACCCATTCTGCTACAGGCAAGAAATGGGCCTGG